ATCAAGTCACCCAACGAAAAAATTGACCCGAAATCTTAAAGGGTTACGTGCTCGGATAAGCAGTTTTGACGTTCACGTCCAAACGACTCAATATTTTGAGCTGAAATTTTGAGACAAGGTAAATACACCACTCCTCTATATTTTGGCGCTTAAATTTCATACGTACTCGGACATTTATTTTTGAGTCTCTGTTCAAATCGTCGATGGTCTGGGATGCATACAATGCAATCAAATGATTTGATTGTCCTGCGCCGACTTTGCTAATGAAGACGGGGGGCATGCATAAATGTTTAATATCTGATGCATCTAATTGCAGAGGTGACAAATAGATAGGATCGATCGATTTTACCTAAAACAGCAGAATTACTAGTATGGGAAGGCAAGTGACCCCCACTCCCTCCCATATTTTTGTAGAAAGAAACCGTATGTATTGGTACATTATTGTAGCTCCATATTTTATAGGCTTTTAGTTTACCACCGTTTCTGAATACAAGTGTCTTGGGTTTTTGAGTGTTGATGGACATTCCATATTTCTCACAAATTGATTCTATACAGTTAATTTGGTATCATCGACAAATAGCAATGAGAATAAATTAGGAAATACATTGATACCATTGCATTCGTTGTCCTTCAACTCACTGACATATAGGGTGGCTAGGTGGGTAAGGCGCTGGCTCGCTAGCCTGGAGGTCGGGTGTTCGATCCCTGCATTGGCCGAGAAAGTTCATCCCGATTTTCCGACGTGGTTTCCCCTTGTCAGTGATGCAGGACGGAGGGCCTGACAAGGACAGCTGTCTAGTCCTTCGGATGAGACGAAAAACCGAGGTCCCGTGTAAACATTGGAATGCACGTAAAAGATCCCTTGGCAGTTGGAATTCGATATAAGAGTAGGCGATAGTGCCGCTGCCCGGGCAAAATTACTTGGCAGTTGGAATTCGATATAAGAGTAGGCGATAGTGCCGCTGCCCGGGCAAAATTTCCCTCATAGCACACTGTATGGCGTATGCCCGTCTTCATTAGCCCAGTATAGGAGCAGAACAGTAAACTCCATTTCATTTCATTTCATTTCACTGACATATAGATGTGTGAAGAGTGAACATAATAACGGGCTTAATATGCAGCCTTCAGGGGAGAATCTAGGAATTTTGAAAAGGGGGGGGGGGGGCGCGCCGCAAAATGAGCAAAAAAGCCAGTTGAACATGCGGCTCGAAAATTGTCAAGGGCGACCGAGGCATTATGATGGGAAAAAAGACGAATCTATTCCCTGGCCACTTCACTATTTAAGCCTTGTAACTTGTACTTTGTACTGTCCACACATGAAACAATGCTACATCAAGTTGCACTCATGCGCGTCGGTGATGGACATGAGTGTATACGCCGCCGATTCCACAAGATGTCTGTCTATAGTCACTCTATAGGATTAGGGCACCGTCAGCTAAACAACAAGAATTCGTTTGAAAGTGGAAGCATTAATTGGACCAGACTGGTGTGTTTGAGTCCATGGTTTGAATCATTTGGGATCCCTGCAACGGGTTGGGAACGGACATATTTGGGTCTGAGAAAAGGCACTTTCAGCAGTAAAAAAGGGCGCCCCCCCCCTTGAATCCGCCTCTGGCCTTGCCTAGAACCCATATAACACCCAAAAAAGTCAGTTAGTGCCAGTTGTGCAGACAATACACGATTTGCACTTGGAATACATGTTTCGGGTGATACTGATGAATTTTCCATGGATACCTGTTTCCATCATGCTGACACAGAGCAAGTCATCCTGGACGGAATCACCATAAATAACAGATATATTCGCCCCACTTTACTCGATAAATATTTACTTATAATACTCTGTAACGATAATATATTATCGACAGTTGAGAAGCCCAGCTTGATACTCACGGATAGCATTATTTAAATTACACCCGGATACAGTCTGTTGTTTAAAACGATTGCCTAGAACTTTGTTAATCTAAAAAAAACTTAATCAATTTTAGAATTATTTCATCCGTGTCAAATTATTTAAATTACACCCGGATACTAGTATCCTGTTTGAAACGGGTTCTTAGAACTAGGATTTATGTAAATTTCGTGTATTTTCTGACGTCCACATACACACTTTGTTAATCTAGAAAAAAATAAATCAATTTTAAAATTATTACATCCGTGTCAAAAAGGTGGTCTAGGAGACCATCCCATACGTCTTCATTAGTGTCGATCCTAGATGGATATAAAATCATAATACTGTATTTTTCCTGGATTAAAAAAGGTCACAGGAGTTCATTTATCAGCATTGCACCTAACAACCAATATTCCAGATTAAGGTTAGCAATGCACTCGAGGCATTTCAAGAAACTGGTAGAAAATTTGGTTTGATTAATTTTATAAACTCCACAGCAATAGTGATCCATGGAAATATAATTTAATGTCAATAGAATTATAGGATGACTGAGATCTAGTATGTTGTCCAATGGCGCTATACTATAGATGGTTTATATAATCGCGAATTATACACATATTATGGAATCAAATGGGGTTTAATGTCTTGTCAAAACACAGTAATTCTAAATGAAATGAAATGGTTTTTAACATCCTACTGTTCTGCTTCGACAGGTCTAATGAGGAGGAGCTTACGCCCGGAAAGCGGAGTTACGGTCTACTCTTATATCGAATTCCAACTGCCAACAAGGTTTCGTTTACGTGTAGGACAATGTTTACACGGGGGCTCGGTTTTTCGTCCCATATGAATGACTATACGTTGTCCCTTGCCAGACCATCAGTCCTACATCACTGACAAGGGGGAACTACGTAGGAAAATCCCGATGAACCTTCTGCTGACCACGGCAACGCCACTACTGAATATAATACAATGCCGTCTTCTCCCAGACACTATAACCATTCCATGCCACCATGTCTACTGGGAACTTTACATTGCCTTCATATAATAATGAGTAATGAGGGTGTCATTTGTCAATTTATACTGATTCCTGATATTTCCTCAGAGATAAACATGACCTCTCGATGCTTTTGAAAGATACTTCGTTACACCGGTAGAAATCAGTTGTTATCCTCACATAATTGGACTTATAAAATCGATATATTTCTAAGGAGGACATTCATGGTAATATTCTAATCATTTAGGTTTGGTATGCGTGTTGGTACCTTCTTACTGACATGAATAAAAACAAAGTCGAAAGTCGACAGTACGCTATATCTTAATTTCCTATTTTCGAGTTGATTATGGCTGGTATATAGCGTACTGTCGCCTCACATTTTGTCGTAACTTCTACTTTTCGACTTTCGTGTTTCGAAAGGGCGAAATGTAGAAATTACGAATTGACGATTTGAACATGTATGCTGGTTGGTTAATAAAAATCGTTCGCTCGACCTGTTCCCCAAGATTCTCTTTGCACCAGTATACAGGAGCTGCAGAGGCTCAGTAAGTAAGTGGCTGGCTCACTAATCAGAAGGTCTCGGGATTGGCGGACTAACCGGGATCTCGTGTACATTTTGACGTGCACTTAAAAGATTCATTGACAGTTAGAATTCTATGTAAGAGTAGGTCGTAAGGTCGCTATCCGGGCGGAATCTCTCTCATCGCACATTGTATGCAGAATGCCAGTCTTGATTAGCCCCGTCGGAGCAGAAATGTAGGGCGTTCAACAACATTTCATTTCGTTTCAGTGCTTTGAAATTTGAATTTTAGGCTTCTCAACCACTTTCGCAGTGTAAAAGCTAGTAACAAAAAGACGTAGATCATTGTATTAATTAATGGTGACTGTAGGCATTTTGGGTTTATTGGATAATTAATATTGGAGAAGGATGTCCGGGTACAATTTTTTTACCCCGTATTGCGCATGTAACCATATATAGGCATGTCATTATCATATGTTGTTCTAAAGCTGTTTCTGAAAAATTAATGACACGCTCATGATACATTTGTGTACTGTGTTTATATTGACTGAAACACGGCCGATCCCCATGGCTGACTGGTTAGAACAAGGGCGAGTAACTCTAACCTCTTATAATAAGGAGTAAGACAGCATTATAAAAAGGAGTAACACCACTTAACTATCTGTCCTTCGCAACATTCTCCCCTTCCTGATATGATTAATTGTCATATATCACTTCTACTATATAATAATGAAACAATTTCGAAATTGAAAGCGCAAATACTTTTTGCCCAACTTGAACTTTAACAACTCTCACATGGCCGTCTTGTCCTGGAAACACTTCAACAATTCTTCCAAGCGGCCACTCTGCACAAGGAGTATCTGCTGAAAGTACCAACACGACATCGTTTACAGCAAAGTATCTTTGAGTATTAACCCACTTTTTTCTAGGATTAAGTCGAAGCAACCACTCTTTGAACCAACGGTGCCAGGAGTGACGAACCAATTCCTGAGACCCCTTCACCATCTTTTACGTGGTTAACTCTGTATTATCAACGTATTCTTGAGCGATTTCTCCTCCGAGCTGACCTGTGAGGAAGTGATTTGGCGTTGACTGAACACCATCTTGTGGATTTGAAGACTGATAAGTAAGGGGTCTGGAATTAATAAGTGACTCGGCACCTGTCATGGCTGATAATTATTCTGATAATAAATAAAGTTATTTGACGTTCATGGAACATCATCTTGTGGATTTGAAGTATGTAAGGGGTCTGGAATTAATATGTGGCTCAGCACCTGTGATTACTGATAATAATTCTTCATCTGTAACTTCTGAACTTCCTAAAATAGCATAATATATCGCTTTCTAAGCCGATTTTATCATTGACTCGAAAACTCCACCAAAGTGAGGAGTGATTGGAGGATTAAAGGTGAATTTAACTCCCTCATTTAGAACACATTTCACTTTTCTCCATTAAAAAAATATAATACTCTAAGAATCGTGCTATACGTCAACAGGACAATTAACCATTTTCATAGCTGTCTGAAAAATTTTGACAGTAGTATACAACTCATGACAGCCTGTCATGAGTAGGCGTATTAGGCGGAGATTCAAGCCCTTAAATGTCACTTGAAAAAACAGTGGAACTCTATTTGTATTCAAAGGTAAGTTTCTTTACTTATTGTATGTAAAATGTTTCAAGCGTATTTCTGTGTATTTTTATTGCATGAATTATGTAATTGTAATAATAAGATTTGCTATTGATTGGATGCGTTATTTTATAGCATCGGTGAACTGAATATATCTTCTAGTTTAATAATCAGGTAAATACTAGGTTTATTACAATTTAAAATGCTCGTCAATTTATGACAAATTATGATATGATTTAAATAAACGAACAAGTACGTGTCTTTATACGAAAACGAACCAATACTTGTTTAAATTAAGATTTCAATTATTTAATAATGTATTGCGTTAATTATACATACATATATAACTTAGTAAACGAAAAAGCACGATTTTGTTATAATAGGTAATACTTGTTTTGCTGCAATTTATAGTTGCACCCTGCACGTTTCAAGTCAGTAGCTTGAAGCGTATATATGGTATTAGTGTCAGTGGCTTGTGGCACGAAGTAACAGTATATTGTCGCATACATAATATATTATGTCAACGCTTGGGCGACATAATATATTGTGTTGACGTTCCAAGCGTGTTAGCATATTAGACCTGTAGACTCAGTGGAATGTACGCGCCATCAGAGCGGATCCAGGGGTTGGACCATGGGGACCGGTCCACCTCCTTAACAATAGAAAGTGTCCCTGTAAATAAAAGGAGGGCATCCTTATCAGAAAAAGGGCACCTGTGATGTCAGAATTTCAAAAAAGGGCACTTTTCTTTCGGATTAGGGTTAGGGTTAGGACACAGAAAAGAGAGAAAAAACAGAAAAGAAAAAAACAATCGAAACTTACCGATTCCATGATGGAAAATACCGCCAAAATATGTCTCCAAAGCATTCATTGGTTATCAAAGCGCCAATTAAATCTATCGTTGCAAGTTCATGCCTAGTCACCTCCATCCTAGTTCCAAGCGTTGACATAATATATTATATCGCCCAAGCGTTGACATAATATATTATGTATGCGACAATATACTGTTACTTCGTGCCACAGGCCACAGACACTAATACCATATATACGCTTCAAGCTACTGACTTGAAACGTATCGCCTGATATTTAATGATTTCAACAAGAACAGCTGTCTAGTCGTTCGGATAGGACGAAAAACCGAGGTCCGTACACGTAAAAGATCCTTTGCCAGTTGGAATTCGATATAGCACACTGTATGGCGTTCGCCCGTCTTCATTAGCCCAGTTCCGAGCAGAACAGTAGGACGCTAAACTCGATTTCATTTCATTAAATGATTTCAGACATCAGATTATCTCTCACAAAGCGAACTATATTTAATTTATATTTTGATATTACACCACCCATAATTGATTATATTTTTGCACCTTTATTTCATATAGTACACTTGAATAGATTATACTAATAACTATAACATAGGAAATCTATTTTTATTTAAAGAATAGGTAACAGCACGTTTATAGCATTCCTTTGCTGACCATCACTATGATATCAAAGGTAAGTGTGAAGCGCAATCGTTAAAATCCGACACTTTTTCATTACTCAGTTCAATATTTCGTGCATGATTAGTCCACTACTGAATTTCAGACGTTTTAACAAAATCATATAACTTCATTTTCATCATATTTTCTTGTCGGGTTTGTTGGTGACGGATCCATGTTCACTAGGGCGTGAATTTTCTATTGGATATGGTATAGTTTTCTGTGGGGGTTTTTTTTTTGGCAACCTCCATCTGTTCATAATTCAGAAAAATTTTGTAGACTATGAAATGATAAATAGAATTTAAGCAATTTTTAGAGCAAAAAACGCTGAAAACTGTAAAGTTTCTTCGGGGATTCCGGGGACAACAAATTGACGAAAGCTATGATAATAGCGAAACTGGGGTTTTACAAAGCCCCCACCTACACCCGCTGTCGTCGAAAGTTATAATAAATGGGATTGCAAATCTGAAATACAGGACATTCTAGTCGAAGGGCCAACTACCGCGGTTACACCATGGTTTATAATTAAGGAGTAGAAGAAAATCCAAAAGTGACCCATTTCATGAACATTTTAAGCCTGTATGAAATATTACGATTTGTGTTAAGCCTTTAAATCCTTTTAAAAGTTTGATTTAAAAGTTTGATATTATTTTCCTTTGCTGTGTTATCCTTTTGTAAACAGGCATTATGTAAGCGCTAAATCTTCCTATTGCAGGTTTTTCTTTGGCTCTTAAAGATACATTAGTTAAAGAGTTTAATACAGAGTTGGCGATTCTTGCTATAATAATTCAAAAAGAGATGATAAAAAAAGAAAATATTGAATATTTCAGCCAAATTACTTTATTCTGAACGGAGTTGTGACTGTTGAAAGTTTGGACTAGAAATAGGCAGAATAGCTGATCGTTTGATTTACATAATAACCAATCCACCCACATATTATCAAGTAACATTCTAAATGGCAATGGTACCCTCGCTTGGCAGGCCTTTCATCACCCGTTTCCGGTAGTGACGTTAGCGACTAACGGTAATAATTAGCTTGGTCGGCCATTTATTGATTTAATTTTAAATGGACGACTGTTTAAATCCAAGCTGCATCCAAGGGTCTACAGAGTTGATTTGAGCTTTTCATGTAAATAAAGTTCTAATAATTTCTATAACATCTGAAGCCTAAATAAAGACTAATAATAGGCAGATTTAGATATTCCATAATGTATGTTTAAATGTTAGAAAATTACCTGGGATTTTTCAGCGTGGGTTTTCTTGTTTGTCGTTCAGGACAGCCGGCCGGACAAGTAGCCTAACAGTCGTCAGGATGGACGGTTATACAGTGTCTCGCTTTATGTTTTTGATAAAAGTTATAATTTGTCTACATATACTCGTCAATTTTTCTATAATAAATGAGTGTCGTGTATTGTGCCAATCTCTACCCCAGAGATACGTTTACCCTTCGTGTATCTCTGGTAAAACTCACCGGCAATTTTGAAATCGGCAGCATTTCATTATAATCAATCCTGCCAACCAGTAGCTACCGGGGGCGGAGATAAGGAACCGATTTCAGGCTGATTAATGGTCGTCGTGTTTTACTAGAGATAAACGAAGGGTAAAGTTATCTCTGGGATTGAGATTGGTATTGTTCAAGACATTTTTATTTCTTAAAGGTTGTATCGTTATTTGCCTGCCTTGTTATGGTGTCCATGGCATGGCAAAATGACTATGATAGAAATCTAGAGTTTGTCTGCCCGACGGGTCAGTCTATAAGCCGTGTACAGAGTGTTCATAGTAACAGACACGAAGACAGGGTATGGCAATTCAGCTGTAGCTACAAAGGACAACTTGGACATTGTCGGTGGTTTTGTAAGTTTTATTTCTTTTGTCATGAATAACCGCGAATGGATTTGCGTTTACCGTATCTTTTCCTTTATAAAAGAAATGATATGGGGTGTAGCCCACGTTGACATCTAACTATGCTGTGCCCAACATAGGTGATCTCCGGTTCTTAAAGGGTTTAGCCTGTCCCTTAAAAAACCTAAATCTGGAGCTAGTATCTATCTTTTAGATTTTTGATATATTTTAGGGGAAAGTATAGCTCATGATATGGGTATTCTCAATACGATCATGAATCATACCAGAACCGACACGGTGACAAATATGGCATCTATACCTATGCTTTGAGTCATTATCACTTTGGCGCCAGTTGCAACTACCCTGGTTGTGCACCATACCCAGAAAATACTGCATTGCATCTAAACACCTCTTCTCATACGCACGATCACTATGGAAAACTGAGTTCCCCTATACGTTTGAACCATGATTCCTCAATTTGGATGACTCCTCCAATTACGCTCGATGACTCCCAATGGACATTGCCGGTCTGAGTTATGTATAGTCTGTGCAATGGCATTGGCCAGGCCCACGAACTGAACAACACAGTTGTGGAGGGGGTGACGGAGCTGTGGGCTTTATAATTGCGTCAAGTAAGTATAAATATATACATTTATCATTTATTAAACCCCAGTCTATTCACGAAGCTTTTCTTCCCTAGAACTGTACATACTTTTCTAACTGGTTTTGTATTATTTGTATTATTATCACCTTTAAATATTTATTTATTTATTCATTGTATTTGCTATAAGTTATGTAACTTTCAGCAATAAAACATTACTTACTTACTTAGGCTTGTATAACCAGGATACATTCCAATTTTAGCAATATGTGCATGCGATCCAAATGGACCGACCGTGTCTTTACAAGGGCCAATGGCACGCGGTTTCGTTGTTTTGTTTTCTTTCTCCAACCAGAAGATAGAAAGGAACTATTAAAATAGACTACGTTACACATGATTTTAATTTCTAGTTCGTATGTTCAGACCAGGCGTAGGTTGATGTCTTGGCTGAGCAGAGAATAGCAAATTGGTTGAGAACATGATAACCATTCGATGATCAACATTTTTTGTTTTTCAGATTCTAATTGAGAAAGGATTTTCAAACTAACAGTTCAGACATAAGTAGAGGCTAGAAATTGAATTGCCTATACTTGAGACTGCTCCTGACTTATAAAGTGAATCTCATCACTGCGCAAGTTAAGCACATGGTGATAAACAATTTCATTGCTAGATGCTTCATGAAACAATAAATGTGCCATATATATTTATTTGTGGTATTGGGGCTTACTGTTGGTTTAGTTTGTAGCATTTCTTTTATTTATTTAAGATAATGTAAATCAATTTGATGGTGTACTGTTTTTCCAATGTCCCAACTTTGGACATATTGTTGCTACCAGAAGCCACCACGACAATCGTCGCGAAGACAGAAGATTTAGTTTTAAATGTTGCACCCCGAAGAACGGTTAGTATATTGAAATCAATACGGGGCGGGGCGGGGGGCATAACAAGGCCAGTGTCTAATCGTTCGGATAGTACGACAGGCATTGGCGTGCACGTAAAAGAACCATCGACATTTGGAATTCGGAAAAAGAGTAGTCCGTAGAGCAGCAGACTGGTCAATTTTTTTCTTCGCAGAACACTGTATGGTGTATGCATGTCTTAATGAGCGCAGGCGATACATACAAATCGACTTTAAACCCCATTTCATTTCCGTTCACTTGAGTATATATATTTAATTATTTTACAAGTTGTTGTATCTGGATTGCTACCGCAGTAAACATCGAAGATTATAACTATTAATCAGCAAGGCTGACATGATATTTGAAAAGTGATATACTCATCATGGTTCTTAGGTTTAGTTTTGGGTACAAACTGGAGATTGTGTGATAGTCGAGAGATCTGATCACCTGTGAGGAGGGTACGTTGACGGTAAGATTGATCACAGTTTTGGTAATACATTCATTCTGAGATGTTTTAGCATGGGCTTGGTTGTTGAATTTTAGTTTGTTATTTTATTTGTTTGATGGCTTTTCACAATGATATTTTGTTTGGCAGTGGCTTCAATCTGTTGCGAAGAACGTTCTATGTATCAGAGGGTAATGCGGAGCCGAGCTGGTCACTCTGAACTTCAGATAATTTGAACATACACTGTTTTTCATTCCTAAATAACGACGAGAGCAGCGAACAAAAGAAGTATACATCCCCTTCTGGGTCATACTTGACTCACAAAGATTCCAGATGGCGGCTCAAACTCGCGTTTCTAGCTGAATAACTCACATTGTCGAGAAATCGGCACCATTATATTCAAAGAAATACCGCCAATCCGGAGCCACTGTGGGAGGAGCGTAAGAACCGATTTAAGACAGATTAATGGCCGGTGAGTTTTCCAAGAGATATATAGGTCACTAAGAGATGCAGTATCAATTTCACGTTCGTTCTAGAGATAAAGAGTTACAGTGAGCCGGTGAGAATTGTTGTTGGGAATGGTCCGGTTTACAGTTTGTACGCTCCGCGTTGCAGGAGCACTTCATCACGGAAAATGCTTGGAATAATCATTGATGTTTTGTTTGAATATGATGATGGGTTTCAGATACATTTTATACGTTGGTAATGTTGTATATTAGATTTTGGTGCAATGTGGAGCAATTAAATTTCTGGTTGGGGTACCCCCACCACTTAAAAGGTCTGACCATTGACATTCTCATACTGAGCATGTTCCGTGCGGTCGGTTAATGGGCTCATCTGACTTACATGTAGCCTTTGATGTGGGGCAATCATTAACGTCTGGATGGGAGGCAAGAAGCTTACCCAATACTACCTAAATTATGATGTTTTTTCACAATAATGAGGTAATGTTTACTTATGTATTGAGTGGTATCGCCTTGCCCAGTTGGCATATCCCACCACTGAAAATGTCCGTCGGTGGTCATTCTTGATACATGTGAATTTGCTGAACATTTTGCAACACGTTTCGTGTGGTTAGAGAATGAGCTGCCGGGGGTGGGGCAATAATGGACGCTGAAAATATCTGTTTGCGATCCCAATATTCTCAAATTGAAATTTTAACGTAATCCATTTGGATGTATCGCGTTCACGTTTTATAAGCCAACATTTTCATTTAGACGTATATTGTTGTCGCCCTTGTAATATCAAGGTTGTGGAACCTCTAGAGGTCAAAATTGTGATCTGATTTTGATGAAACTTAAAACATATTCGCGTATATCGAGCTGTGACTCCGAGACTTTAGTTTGTGGACCCTCTAGAGGTCACAATATTCATCCGATTTTATAAATCGTTTAAATACATCATCGTTACACCCTGATGATGGTTGATTTCAAATTTCGTTGAAATAGGACCGAAACTGCCTGCTCCTTGAACGTAAATAGTGTAAAAGTATGTGAAACCAAGGTGTCACAATTTTTATCCGATTTTGATGAAACTTAAGATATATTTTTAGATGTTTTTGTATCCCAAAGATCGCGATTTCGTTCGATATCGCGGGCTTAAGCTTGTTCTTGAAAAATGTGGTCGTATCTTACATGGCAACCACTGGTTATGTTACATATTATCCTGTCCCAATTCGATAGTCTAGGTTATATTGATACAGCGGTTTAACTTTTAAACAAAACCTCTTGTCACCGTCACAATCTTTAATAGATCTGAAAGTAAATTTGGGGAAAACGCCTGGCAATTGCGATCAAAATATTTTGAATCCCGATAAGGCTATGCATCATAACTAAATTTGTAATCCCTTCCAATTTGAAAACAACGCACCCAAATACTTTTACGGTAAATAACATGAGATTGTGATGCAGGGTGTAACTATCGACTTGTGATGCAGGGTGTAGCACCATGTTTTAAACTATCGATCTGAAAATAAAAAGACATTCTGATGATGGGTGTAATTAAAATGAATAACAGATCAGTGTTAATAATAATTTTGAACCAAATATTCGAAATGTGGTGTTTATGCAAATAAATCCCAAAACAGTTTTTGATTTTCAGGAAAACGCACAGAATGCAAGTTTACTAACTATGTAAACAGATTTGATGGTAAAATGGACTATAAGGTACCCACCAATAAATATCTACACGGGGCCTACAGTGAACATAAAAATCGTCAAGAGTGAGTAAATCAAAAATATTTGATTCTAAAAAAAAATATTATAAGGACTGTGTTAAGTCTTTATAGAAAAAAAGGAATTGCACAATAATAAGGGCAAATGGACCACTTGCGATAGAGAAATGAAAACAAAATACGTAATTCAAGTGAGACAAACAAAAGGTCAGTACACCGAACAGTTGTAACAGAGTGATTTATACCTGAAGTTGACGTTTATATTATGTTCGTTATTTATTTTTAATAAGTAACCTGGTGTGACAAAACTGATCTATAACTGAAGTTGACGTTTAAACTATCGACAACTTCTGTGAAGACACGTTCTTAATAATCATCTAGTTTATTCAAGATGTTCTTTAACAAGCTACACATGATCCGCGTGTAACACTAGACTGAATTTCAAAGAGAATGTATTAGTGGTCAGTTCATTATACCTTGACCTGACAATGACTTTCAAAGAAATATGCAGTTTAATTACAAACACCATAATTGATAATAAACAATACCATATATGATTATCACTCTTGTCCACCTCAGCTAATTGTTAGAGGCTTTATAATAAGCAGACGTTTACTGACAGCAAGTCAGACTTGGAATAGAGCTCCTCTCGATTTGTGTCTATTTCATGTTCTCAATAAAGGTCTTATATACATTATGATATTCTGTTATCTGTAAGACATAGTGTTACACAGTGGACTGTCTCTAGTCGACTTGATTAATCTTAACTTCTAACATAATACCAAGCTGAGGCACTGGGCTGGATGTTAAAATTGCCCCACTCAAATCATTTGAATTCTTTTACTGCTTATTATTGTTATTTTTGTTTCGTTTGTAGA